CTAAACCCCAGTGGTCCTTGGCAGATCTTTTAGCACCTAGAGGTCTACTTTGTCTGCTTTGGAAAGGGGAAGTCTGTACAAAACAACTATGGAAAAATGAGGGAAAAATAAGAATCCGTTCACACAGCAAAGAAAGCTCCTAACTATAATTGTATTAAATGATGCAACATTTTAAACACACTGTTGTTAAAACTATAAAACAATTTGTGTTCAGAGTCACCGAAGTCTTTAAATGCCCCACTTTCATCAAACTGTGTTTATGATCACACCTGTTCACAAATAAACATAGGAAAATGTATATCTCAGGAAATATATTTTTAAATCAAATGTTTTATTACAATTTTGATATTGCTTGTTTTGTGTATTTAAACAATGTTGTTTTATGTAGAATTAGCAGTGTTAAAAAAAACTTTTTTTAGCTCACATATTTTATTGTGTGCATACTTGTTAATTAAAGCCATGTTAAAAAAGAATAATAATTAAATATAGAAACATATTATTACAAAACATATTTGTATTATCTGCTGAATTATATAACTAAGATTAAGAAGGAAAAAGGGGTTCTGGACTTTAAGTCCTACAGATTAGAACCCAGTTGTTACACTGAAACAATAAAGAGAGGAACAATACCAAAAAAGGAAAGAAAGTAATAAATACACCAACACAGTCCAAGTTTGAAACTGAACTCAGATAAAGACAAGTTTGTTTAGTTTTTATGATTTCAGATTCCAGTTTGAGTTTTTTTTGTATTCTTACACACGGTCAGTACCTGGCTGTCATTTGTAATATAGATTTGACAGCTCGTTGTTTCCTGTCTTTCTCTTTAGTCATGCAAGTGAAGCTAAATGTGCATCTCTGTCATTGCAATTTCAGGAGACGAGCTGCTTTCTAGATCAACAAACATCAGTGTCCTCAAGCAGCAGTGATCCAGGTGGTGTGAGTTCAGCAGCTTTTAAAAAACACATCAGTGTGGCTGCCCATTGGTGCTTCTGAACAACGCTCTGCGTCTGTGTTGCTTTAACACGAGCTACAGGGACAGAGAACATTAGACAGGAAGCCCACGATGTTTAGTGTGTCTAAATGTCTACTCCTGCCAAATCTTCTGCACTCTTTCTTTCTGTTCGCTGCAATACCCATCAGAACAGAACGCAGCGTTATGTTGAAAAAAAATGCACTCTGTGTGCGTGTGTGCTTATAAAAGTTTCAAATAAAGCTATTTTGATAAAGAAACGTAGTTTTGGGATTAACATGATTAATACCAGAGCATGTCACAGAGAAACAAACACAGAAATGAATAATTCTGTGTGCCTGTGTGTGCACCAAAGTGCACGTCTCCTTGATCTTGCCAGAGACAGTCTGTCCCCTGGCTCTGTGCCAGTGGAAATTAATGTCAGGATCAGCTTACATTTAAGTCATACGTAACATCATTGTAGAGAAGGTGGGCACACAGATACCAGCCGAACAACTATGCAGTGACCAGCCTGGCTGGATCGTTAAGTCTTATGGAGACAGAAACGTCACAAAAAATGACAGGAAGAGGAGCCGTAGAATCAGCTTGCAATTTGTTTTGTTTAATTTAGCAACACGTTGGGTAAAAACATTCTACAACTTATCAAAGCATTTCATGGACAAAGATTCAGCAGGAATAATTTAAACAATCCATAATAGATTTCAAAATCGTACTTCTTACTTACAAAGCCCTCAACAACCTAGCTCCATCTTATATTACAGATCTTATTGTTCCATATTTTCCTAACAGAGCACTTCCCTCTTGGTCTGCAGGTTTACGTGTGGTTCCTAGAGTTTCCAAAAGAAGAATGGGAAGAAGCTCTTTCAGTTATCAGGCTCCTCTCTTGTGGAACCCACTTCCAGTTTCTGACCGTAAGGCTGACACACTGTCAGTCAATCCAAGGAGTTGGATTGTGGAATGGTCGAGAGAGTGATGTTAAAAATGCCAAGTCAATGTGTACATTTAAGAAAAAGATCAAAACTGAATTGTTAAAAAAATATATATGAAGTAGCTTAGTGTGCGTTTTGTACTAGAATTAGAAAATTAGAAAGAGTTATTCATTTTGTTCTGTTACGTGAAGATTATTATGATTGAAATAATTGTTTGAAAAAAGGGGCAGATATAATAAGATTTTTTCTTCTTTCTGCTGCCTTTCATTTTATATCTCTTGTATCTTTTTATATCGTTATGGAATTGTTTTGTACTTTTTTGTAAATGAATAAACTTTATACCATACCATACATTGTCCAGTTTAAAGACTGGGCTTAAGACTTTCCTTTTTGATAAATCCTATAGTTAGGGTTGGCTTGTTATGCTGCCATAGGCTTAGACTCCTAGAGGACAAACTGATCTCATTCCCTCAAGTGATTTGCTGAAGTTGAATAGTTTTCATTTGATACCATTTCAAACTTAACATGTGATTCTTGACCTGCCATTATGTATCTGTTCCTCTCAAACCCAGCCGATCAAAGCAGATGGCCGCTTGTCCTGAGCCTGGTTCTGCTAAAGGTTTCTTCCTCATGAGGGAGTTTTTCCTTTCCACTGTCGCCTTCATGCTTGCTCAAGATGAGAGTCTGCGATGAAGTTAAACTCAAAGCAGTCTGCTCATCAGATAAATACAGTAGTCCCTCGTTTATCCCGGGGGATCTGTACCCTGAAGCCCAGCGGTAAGGATTGTGTGGCTCATCCATCAATCAGCCAGTTGTGTGTCATGCCCAATCTTATTTTGAAAAACCGCGATAGAGCGAGTCCAAGAAAAACAAACCGCGAAGTAGCGAGGGACTACTGTAATGTTATTAATTTACGTTTTACGTATATGAATGTTTCTGTGCCTGAGATACTTCTGTTGTGACTTGGCACTTTAAAAATAAACTGAATTGAAAACTGAATTTAACAAAACACAACACAAGAATAGTGTAGGTACATGTTTGTGCATTTAAACTACTTCCACATTTCCCTGAAGTCTTTTTTTGTCCGTTTATCACTCTGAAAACTTGTTTGAATGTGCTTCTAAATTAGACATTGTAAGGGAAAAGAAAAAAAGTGTACAAAGAGAGAAAAGACATCAAAATGTGGAAAAAAGGAGAAAGGAAAGAAGGACAGAGCAACCACAAAGATCAACTGCAAACCCCAAACAAGCTCGATCCAGCTGAGTTTAAAAGAATGATGTGGGAAAAGAGCAAAGAGTAGAGCAGGAGTCCTCAAGAGAACAATGGAAACCCAAAGCTCACACTACTACTTCTACAATTTATCCACCTCTTTATGTTAAAGATGCAACAACTGATTATAATGCTTTGTTGTCTGCTACAGCTGGAACCCTACTAAAGATTTAGTGGGGGGGGGGGGGGATGAACAATAAACAAAATTGTCCACTGTTTAATTATTATTCAGTAAATTTAACAATTGTAATACTGTGACTATGCAAGTTCACCTGAAAATCAATGCTCATTAGGGTTAATTAAGCCAATGTAAGATAAATTCCAAAATATATTATATATAGGCCCGCCAAGATAACATATCTTCCTGGGCGACTAATTGTCTCAGAAATTATTGCGATAAATGATAGTATTGATTGAAATGTGTAAATAATCAATAATTATTCATTATTATTTATCAATAATTGTTGTCAAATTTAAGAAGAAATGTTTGTTAATTTGTTTTGCATGTAGTACCGTTTGTGACCACTGGATGGCAGTAAAAGACTGCTTGAACCGAAGGATGGCTAGTGAGGGAGCGAGCAGCGTGTCTCTTTAAGAAATATGGGAGGGAGGCCCCTTGACATGACATGGGCTGTCTATCTCTGGTTCTCAAAATGGCGATCAGTCAGTGTGATTTGAGCTCTTTAGCATAGCATATGTCACACAAAGCTTTTAATTAAAAAAAAAAAAAAATCAGTAAACAAGTTCTCAGCTTGGGCAGCACGGTGGCGCAACTGGTAGAGCTTCTGCCTCTCAGCGAGCAGGTCCTTGGTTCAAACCCCGGTCCAGGGGCCTTTCTGGGTCGAGTTTGCATGTTCTCTCCGTGCATGCGTGGGTTTTCTCCGAGTACTCCGGTTTCCTCCCACAGACCAAAAACATGCATGTTAGGCTGATTGGTAACTCTAAATTGTCCCTAGGTGTGAGTGAGAGAGTGAATGGTTGTTTGTCTCGTTTGTCTCTATGTGGCCCTGTGATGGACTTGCGACCCGTCCAGGGTGTACCCCGCCCCTCGCACAGTGATTGCTGGACATGGGCACCAGCGACCCCCGTGACCCAAAATGGAACAAACGGGTAAAGATAATGGATGGATGGATGGATGAAGTTCTCAGCTTCAACAAAGTCCATGCTCAATAATCCAGCTATAAAATCCAACATTTTTCAGTCAGGTCATCTGGACAGTTTCTTTTTTTGTGCTGAAACGTTTCGCCTTCGATCCGGAAGGCTTCATCAGTCAAGGAAACACACAACAAAACTGATTCTTCCGCCAACAGCTTACTCCAAAGTGGAACAAACCAGTTCTGCTTGTGATTAGATGGTCTCTTTGGTACGCCCCTCCTCCATTGCCGGCCCTCTTCCTTGTTCTCAGCTTCTTTTTGCAGAGAAAAACTTTTTACACGAAGGCACGAGTTTCAACCGTGAATTCTGGAGCTTCAACAAGACGGAAGGTTTTTTCCCCGAGGTCGGCCTGTTAGCTTAGCTCATTTCTTAGCTTCTCAACTTAGCTACTTTTAATGATCCAAAAACGCAATTTTGGATGGTTAAAATGGATTTTAAAGAGAAAAGAGAAAGGGAGTTATTAGTGAAGAGCACTGGAGTTGAGCCTTTTATCATCCAGTGTCCAGTAGAAAGAGAGAGACACGAAGAAACGATAAAGCCGATAAATGAAAATGAGGTTGATAATTTTAATTTATCATGCGATTAATTGATTTATTGTTTATCGCGACAGGCCTAGTTATATATATTTAAATAATATAATACATATGTCTATACATTAAGTAAAACATGACACCCACCTTTTAGCACAGCGTGGCTGTTTGGGCTCTGGAGTAAAGGACAAGGTAGAGCAGAGCGGGATCCAAGTACAACTGTGGCCTCTAGTAGTGCTCCAGTCAACAGAGAACTCAATGATGTCCTCTGATCACAAGCACGATACAACCTAGAAATAAAGTTTACTTGCTAGTTTAGTCTGAGCATTAAAAAACAACTTTACAACATCCTGTTATAATTTATATATATATATATTCACTACACCGTGAACAATATTTACATCAAGAGCATCTGCAGATCTCACACAATGTTTTACTCTATTACAGAGAAAATGTAGCCCTACCTGGGTGGATAAGAAGGATGACAAGACAAGGGATTAGGACAGTGTTTCAAGTCAGGTCTGGCTGGGCTGGTGCTGAGGGCGACGTGGAATGGACAAAAAGACTCCCTGAGACGAACACATCCAGGCCAGGACAACAGGAGCTTTTTCGCGGGGTGAATTAGACTGACTTCTTCTCTGTCCTGCACACAGCTGGTAACCTGTTAAGGAAGACCAAAAAATAGATCATTTACTGGGAATTTAAATCAAAAGCAAACCAGCATCCATTTATAAACTGTAAGCTAATCGCATGTAGTATAACATTTGTATGCAACTACATGTTCATGTAGGATTTAGGGGGATAATTGAATCTGAAGTCATTGTCATCAGCTCCTCTGTTGTGGTCATTTTCAGAAGCAATTTCCTCCTGAGGGAACAGTGTCGAAGTGTGAAAAGAAATAATTACCAGGAAGAAAGCTGCTGAGGTACAAAACTGTAGGAAAGAGAGGTGGGAAAAGGTTCCACACAGAGCGAGACAGTCCGGTATGTTACAGTACAGTGAAGGTGAATAATTGAAAGCTGAAGAACAGAGGACAGGACAAATGAGAAGCAAAGAGCAAGTAGAAATCCTAGAGGAGCTGAGATCGAGGGAGCATTTTGACCTTTAAAAGGAAGCCTCCTCTTTTAGATCAAACTGTACTTGAAGCAAAATCCATCCAACATAAAAGGCAACACTTATCCAGAAAGATCGTCTGCTTCTTTGTCCTTGTGTGCTTAAGTCAAACTGCGGACGGGCTTCTTGTGGCACAAATTTCAAATAAAACCCATTAAGGCAACGTTTTGAAGCACTCTAAGTGAGCACTTACGTCTTCTGTGGGAATGGATATTACAAAATCAGACAAAATCAATAGTAGTTATTGAATGTGGAGGGGAGGTGCAATGCAAGTTTAATGAGAAGATAATGCTTCATGTAATCACAACGGTTTCCCATTTAACTGCTTTTAATTTGTGACAGGAAAAGAAGTGGGTGAACGCTACATTCCTATGATTTTTATATTCTGTCCACACAAATCTGTGACTAATGACTGGCAAAGAAAACAGGGATTTGAAAAGCACAAACAAACACACACGGTGCATTTAGTGGCTTTCCAGCTAGTTGTCTCGGTGGGATGGGTTTCCTGCTTGGGGTGTAGGCCAAGCTGTTGTCAGATCAGAGCCATCCCCAGAGAAAGGAGACATACCAGCCAGCACGTTTAAAGGGAAAGGGGCAGACGGGAAGATGAAATACAAACAAGTCATAAAGGACACACCTCCTAAAAAAAGCCCAAGCTTAAAAACATTAATAAGTCAGGTTAAGTCATCAACAACATTCCTTATACTTGTTTCTTGGTCAAGATGGAAACAACATGTAAAGTCATAAAACACAAAAACTATCAAATGACCTAATTTTGTGTCAGTCATTTTGAAGAGACTTTCAGATAAGTGTGACACATTTCTGTTCCCCATTAGTTCGAAACATTTTTGGAGAGAAAAGCTCAAACGTGCAGGTGATAACAAGAGGAAATCTGGATTTTTATCTTTGTGGCAGAGCAGCCAAGATCACGTAATAAAGTTTGTGACAACAATAAGAAAACAAACATTCCTTTATGCTTTTCTTCAATAACTTTGTTACTTGGAGTGAAATTTCCTCGTTCATTCCAAACAACAAACACAGACGCCTCCAGCTCGACAGAGATGATGGATGTCGCAAGGAAAACTCCAGGTCAGAGTGTTTTGTTTACAAATGCGTCTCGAACTCTAAAAGAGACTTTTGGGAATGTGGCGTGACTTTTGATCGACATCGAGCAGCTGGCTTCACACGAACTCTTTTCAAGCTCAGCATCAACACATGTACACAAAGTCACTTTGATGGCAGGAAAACACCCCAAAGGTACTCACAGTAATCCAGTACAGACACAAATAAGAAAACAACAAGATAGAAGAAAATAATAGTGTGAATGTTTATGAAGCATTCACACTATTGCGATTCGTTTTTCTTCCGAACGTTTCTTGGTACGTTTCTCGTCCCGCAGTTTTCAAGCTACTTCAACAAATCATAGAAAACATTCAACTTGTTCAGGAGAAGGGTGCTATGACTTTTGGTAATGGTACAACTTTAGCTTTTTGAAATATTTAGCCTTTTTTGCCTTGTGGAAAATGAACTGAACCCATTTTACATCCTTCAAATCTTTTGATCTGTTTACAACCTTTTACTGCTCCTTTCACATTTTGTTCTGGTTCAATTTCTTTCAGCTTCCTTGTGTGAATAAAAAAAAAATTAATCTACTTTCACTTAATTTCAGCTGTTTTGTGCTCCTTTCAGATTCTTAATGCTAGCTAAAACATTTTGTGCTTCTAACTTCTTTCTGCTAATTTCAGCTTGTTATGCTCCTTTCAGTTTATTTCTGCAAGTTTCAGCTTTTTCTGCTATTTCAGCTACTATTTAGCTGTTTTATGCTAATTTCAGCTTTTCTGAGATAATTTCCACTTTTATGTGCTCATTTCGGCTTCTTGCAGCCTAATTGGGCAAACATGTTCTTTCTGCTTTCTTCTACTAACTTAAGCTTGTTATACCTTTTCAGCTACCTTTTTTTTTTTTTTTTTTTGCATTTTTAGCTTATTTCAGCTGTTTTTGGATAAATTCAAGTTTTTCATGGTAATTTTTTCTACTTTCAACCTAATTAACTTCTTTATGGTAATTTCAGCTTGTTATGCTCCTTTCATAAGGGAGTGGAAGTGCAGAGGTTAGAGAAGGTGGGCCTATGATCAAAAGATCGCTGGATCAACTCCCGGTACCGACAACATCAAAATGTGGGCGGGATAGGTGAAGCACCCACACCTGCCTCCATCCTCATTTGCTCCACTCTGGACCCTTGAGCAAGGCCTTTAACCCTCATCATCTGCTCCCCCGAGTGCCCTAGATAGCAGCTCTCTGCTCCACAGAGGGCTGTGGTAGCTCAGTGTCTGGTTGCGTCAGGAAGGGAATCCGGCATAAAAACAAATGTCATGTCTTTGTGCGAAGACATGGCAGTTGTCAAACTTAGTTCAATGTGGCCAACCCCTGATGAAGGCAGCAGTCGAAGGAAGAAGAAAAAATGCTCCTTTCAGATTTTTTCTGTTGTGCTTATTTTCTGTTATTTCAGCTACTATTTAGCTGTTTTATGCTAATTTAGCATTGTCTGCTAATTCCACAATTTTTAGCTCAGTTATTTCCACTTCCTTCTGGTAGTTTAAGCTTCTTTCTGCCTTTTCAGCTACTTTTCAGCCTTTTTGTGCTAATTTCAGCCTTTTTTTTTTAGCTAATTTCCTCATTTTGTGCTCATTTCTGCTTATTTAAACATAATTCAGCAAATATGTGTTCTTTCTGCTTTCTTCTGCTTATTTAGGCTTGTTCTTCAATTTCAGCTACAATTCAGCATCATTTTAGCTAATTTCAGCTATTTTTCTGCAACTTCTTCAGCAATAAGCATTCATACTGCATTTTTGCAGGAAATACAATTTCTCTAGTTGTAGATGAGCTCTGTTATGCAAGTCCTGTGCAGGACATCTAACATCAATACATCCGGCATGTAGATTGCATTACCGCTGATCATCCAATTCAGCTTAGTTGGTTGTTCTGAAGCTTTATTAACCCTGGAACCATAAATACAGAATTGTGGCTTGTGTTAGTTTGTGCATTCAGGAATGAGTTTAGCTATGTAGATAAAAAATATTACTGTTGGAAACCTTCTTTTAGTGTTACTGGTAAGTTTAACTACCAACAGCTCAAAAACAAAAGAGCTGAGAATAACTTGAGATTTCAAAAATAATAATATTAGAAGAAATGGCATTCATGAAAATGATAATGGCTTCGCATAGCATGCCGTCATCAGTAAGTATATGTCCTTTAGGTCCCATCAGACCCCTCAGTGAGTCATTTCTCTGCCTGGCAACAGCCATTCTGGGAGAGGATTAGCACAGAGCACAGGGAGGCACGGCACACACTACTGAACTTTGAGATGGGTTACACAGACACAAAGATACACATATTACAAACGCTAAAGCGCAGACACTTTGTGACTCATGCCCGTGCCATTATGTGTATCACAGCAGAAGCATTTATTAGCACACAGGAAACTGGAGAAGCAGTAGTGCTCTCGGTAAAATCCAACCACATAGATTGAACACTTTAGATTCTGAACAGCCCCACACTCTCTCTCTCTGACATGCTGACATCCTCTCCCTGTATTCCGTCTCTTTTAATCATACACACTCCTCTGCAGTTACTCTGTTTAAATTACTTTTATTTACCATTGTAGTACTAAAGTACCATAATACCAAAAACTTGCACAAGGCCACAAAGTTTTATCTGGAATTGATGAAACACATGCACTCACATGTGAATAGACTAATCATTTAACAGTGATCTGCCCCCAGGCACACTCTCCCACGATGCTGATTACCAAGGAATAAAATCATTGTTTCGCATGAAACCTACTTTTAGACGCGTCCTGGAAATTCGGCTTTGGCTGGGAATAATCTGCCACTCAGAGCAGAGGTTATAGGAGACATCCATGATTTGGTTCCATCACTTCATGTATATTTTCAAACCGTCTTCGAGTCGTATTTGCGAAACAAAAGAGTCTCAGAGTTTTGAATTTGAGACTAAACCTATTGTTAAAGCACACTTCATAAAACACTTAACTAAAGTTGTGTTACATAAAACAAAACCGTTTTAATTATTTTTGTTACAGATTTGGAGAACCAGCACTCATTAATAGTCTTCTAATCTGTTTCGCTCACAGTAATTTAGAGCAGCAGTTTGTAAAACTGGGGTTGGGACTCTACTGTGGGTCTTAAAATGAATTCTTGAAATCACTATAAATATAAATACAATTGTTAACAACATATTCTCTGCTATAATTATGTGTTATATAAGTTTAAAAACAGGATCCACAAATGCATAAAAAGTATAATGGTTCTTGAGGCTGATTGTGATATAATTTATTTGGTTTGTTTACAATGTTTGTGTACTTTAATTAGAAACGGTACTAATTTATAACCTTTATTTAACGGTTTAGACTCTTGAGAAGTGTCTGCTGGATTTTTTTCATGTTAGAATAGCCCAACAGTGTCAGTATTTAAAGCTGTAGATCGACTTGCTACACATCTTTAATCTATCATTTATTTACTTTATTATAAG